AAAAAAAAAAAAAAAAAAAAAAAAAATCACAATATTTGCAAAATGTAATAAAGTAAAACACAATAAAAGGAAGTATGCCTATACAGACCTTTCTTTCTTATCATTATTCCCTAAACAACACAGTATAACAACTATTGCATAGCACGGACATTGTATTAGGTATTTTAAGTAACCTAGAAATGATTTAAAGTACACAGGAGGATGTGCATAGGTTATTTGCAAATACTATACCATTTTATAAAAGGAATTTCAGCATCTGTGGATTTTGTTATCTTCAAGGGGTCTGAAACCAATCTTCCACAGGTACTGAGGGATGACTCTACATACACTGCAAGAATTTCTTTTTCCTTTTTCACAATTTCACAAATAGAAGATTTGTTCTTACCATAGATCTTGGCAACCTCAGCAAAAATTTATTTCCTTATTAAGTTGGAAACTTTCATCTTTTCACTTAAAAGAAGCACTTTACGGCTTCTCTTTGGCATATTCAAATTGCAAGCATCACTCCTCTTGTGCTTTCAGCAAAAGATAATTATTAAGTAAAGTAAGAGTTACTTCAACATAAGCACTGCAATATCACAACAGCTGATGTGATTACCAAGACGTTTACTAAGTCACTAACGGGAAGGATGCATATACAGCATGAATGTGGTAGGCAAAGGAATGATTTACATACATCCTGGACAGGTCTGCACATGATTTAATCACAGTATTCAGAACAGCATGAAATTTACAATTCACAATTGCAAAGATATGGAATCAATCTAAATGCCCAACAAGTGATCAGTGGATAAAGAAAATATGAGGTATATCTAACATGGAACGCTATTCAGTCATAAAAAAGAACAAAAGAACATCTTTTGCAGCAACTTGGATGGAACTGGACACCATTTTCATAAGTGGTCCAAAACAAAAGAACAGTGAACTGAAGAAAATGAATACAAGTTTTTCAAGTCTAGGTTAACATATGATTAGTGATAATCATAAAAAATATGGATTTCAGTAAAAACACCTGATTCAGGATAAAGGGGGTGGTGAGCTGATGAGTTCCAGTGGATACAACCACCAAGCAATAGGCAACTGAGTCTAGAGCTCAGTTGAAGACAGGGCTAAAGATGCGGAGGGGATAGCTGAAGCGATGATAGTGGTTGTGGTGGAGAAAAAGAATAATTGGAGTGAATTGCAGTTACATTTAAGCAACAAAGGAAGAAAGGAATATAGTAAAGGACTGGTTAGAGAGTTAGAATGAAAATCAAGGTAGTGCAAAAAAAGGATTCTAAAATCAGATGCCTGATGGTAGTCATATGAAGAGATTTAGAAAAGGCTTTTAAATTATTGGTAACAATAATATTCTCAAATACAAGTACAGTAGCAAAGAGGGAAATAACATTATAATGAACAAAGGAAAGCATGGGCAATGAAGTAGTAGAAACAAGCTCAGACCACTATTTCCAAGAATTCTGGTGGTTCACAAATTTCAGAATAGGTAATCTAAATAATAGGTGTATGAAAATAGGCAACCTAGACTAAAAAAGCAAAGGAGTAGGGATAAGAATAAAATGAATGAAAACAGAAGTGCAGCAAAGAGGACGTAAATAGGACTCATAGCACAAGGAATTGTAAAAGGAAGTCTTTTCCTCAAAAAAGAATAAAAATAAACTGTAATTATTAATAGACATGTTTCAACTGAAGATAAATCAATGAGGCCATTAAGAAAATGAAAATAAAAGCCAACATTATACTATTAAATACAAACTATGATCCAAGATAAAAATCAGTTCTAAATAACTCTGATTGCAATATTAATCGCAATCAACTAAATAAAAGACTACTTATTTTCTTTTTTTTAGTTTTCCAGTCATTTCTATGCATTTTGAAAATATTTTATTTATCTATTTATTTTTATTTTAATGAAGTGGGGTACAATTCAGGGTTAGGTATACAAATGATCGCTGTACAGGTAAAGTTTGAGCCTCACTTTGGTCCCCACTTCACCTAGTTTGACAGCAAGTAACCTTATTGATGAAGTATGCTCCACTCCCTCCCCTGGCAGTTGCCCACTATTGATAATCCCTTCCTTATAGTATTATGACAATTGTTCAGAGACTGCTTATGAGTGAGAACATGTGGTACTTTGTTTCTTTGTTTCTGTGATAGATCACTGAATATTATAGACTCTAAGTCCATTCAAGCTGCTGCAAAGTTCATAATTTTGTCCTTCTTTATGGTTATTTCTTTTCAACAATACATCTACCCAAGAAAGAATAAAGGAATTTGAAATAACTTATTAATTTAGGACTCAGAAGAAGCATATTTGGAAAAATAAATCACATCTTGACTATATAACAAGACCAAAAGAATATATTTGGTACATGTATCAAGGAAAATATACTTCTAGTAGAATTTAAATACATTTTTAATTAAAAAATCACTAGATTCGTACTTTTTGATTGGAAACAGAAGACATTAAAGACTTAAGAAAAAAATAAGACGTAGAATAATTCTATAACGTTAATATTTTATTATATGATATACCAGAATTGACTTTAACTGCTTCACATATATAGCCCTAATTTAATCTTTGAAGTAATTGAGATGTGGATAAAATTATTCCCACTTTAAAGATGAACAGAAGTTAGGTAAGTTGGCAACAGAACGGGTGGGAGTGTAAGTCTCTGCAAGTGTGAGTGTCTCCAAAGACAATCTGGAGGTATGTGGGGGTGTGCCGGTGGGTGAAGAAAGTCCATCTGAGGGGAGACTTGGGATCAACTATCTGGGGCTCTCCTCTGGAGATGGCTGCAACCCATCACTGCTTTGAGACTTGGGATCAACTATCTGGGGCTCTCCTCTGGAGATGGCTGCAACCCATCACTGCTTTGAGATTGGAGCCCCCAGCACACAGATGCTCTTCATTCCTGGGGGACTCTTGGGAGGAGGCAGCAGAGATCAGCTGCTCCTCAGCACCTGGCAACTGGCCCACGCCACCACGGGCGGCAGCAGGCCAGACACTGGGAGCAGGAACCGTGGAGAAGGCACATGGGAGAAATCTGGAGCTGAGCTCTATGCCACCAGCAAGGAGATGGCAGCCACTGCTACTTTTTCTGTCCTGGGACCTGGCAGAACCTGTATTGGCCCACCCAACTCTGTACAGCTTCCAACCTGAGACCTGGAAGCAATCTCTGCACCCTTCTTGGATGGAACATCGCTGATCCAGAGAGGAAACTTCAGGAGCAGACATGGAGAGACAGATGCCCCACCCCCATGCTGGACCAGACACGGACATGTCTGATCTGAGTGGGAGATATGGCAGCAGCAGCAGATGAGTTGGGGTGAGCCTGGATGTGATTCACCCTCCTCACCCAGCAG